ATCAATTTCTCAATATTTATTATGAAAGGTTATTCTAAAACATTTGTAAAATACTTCATTTTTTTAAGTTTTCAACAGTGGCTCACGAAAGTATTCGAATTCTTCATATTATAACTTTAACCAATAAAATATACATGTTAGACTTAAATTACGAAAGTAATGATATAATTATTATGAAACACGAATATTGAAATTATACATATATGTAAAATACAATAAGATCTACTTCGACTATAAAAATCGTTTAGTTAAGTTTTCAACGATTTTAAAAAGGATATTCATTCTAAATCATAAAATTTTAAACATTTTCAAAAGAATACATACATAAAAATGATTTCTGGAACGAAAATATCTTTTCTGACGAAAGAAAATTTAATATATTCAGATGGAATGGGCATTGTTATTCTGGAAATAAATCAAATTCAGAAATGAATTTAAAAAATTTACATTCTACTATAAACTACAATAATTGCTTTATGATATTGTAAAAATGTATGGTTGCAAACAATACTGAAACTTTCATTTTTATAGATGGTATTTTACATAAATATAAATATTTAAAAAATAATTTTAAAAAGTTTTATAAAATTGAAATTATTGAACAATTTTTATTTTTAACAAGATAATAAATGCTTTTTACCATTACAGTTGCGTTATTTTTGTGTGGAACTTAATAATTTAATATTTTAAATATACCTTTTTAATTATTATTTTACGTTACATAAATATATTGTATAAAGTTCATACATACACAAGATATTTATGAACCGAAGATTACAGTGTATTCTTGTCTTATTATTAGATCGAGCGTAATTTTTTAGGAATAAAAATATAACATTGTATATATATACAGGGTGCCCAAAAAGGTTGGAACTAAATTTGGGCTACGTATTACTAAGATCAAATAGCTGGAGAAAGTTCATATAAATTTACATTCGAAAATGCTTTATTAGAAAGATATGATCCTTGACGATTCATGTTGTGATATAAAGCAAAAATCCAATGCAAACATGAAAACAATTAATGATTTATTTAACGAGTTTAATGGTAATGATCAGTAATTACAAAATTAAAAAAAGTAAAAACATAAGATCCATATGATAATTTAGTCAGGATATTTGCCAACTCAAAATTTGTAGGAAAGTAATTAACCCTTTCATGACTAAAATTTATATAAACAATATCGTGCAACCAATATGACACATATACTAGGAATAATATTTGAAAATTATATGAGTAAAAGTAGAAAATAATTCAACAACATATACGATATTTACGTAAATATATATGGCAAATATGAGTCGTGGTGGCGTTAGTGAATATATGGGAAATCGTTTTAAGACTGCTAAAACGCTTACTCGTGTAAAGGTTAAGTTATTGCTACATCATAACTGATTACCTGAAGATTATGAGCTGCTCAATATCGTTTAGACTTCATAGTATTTTAGATCAATAAATTTATCTCGATGTAAATTATAATGGTATAAAATTACAAATGTATTTTGAAATCACATGGTATTATTTTAAAAAATTATGGTAATCTTGACTTTTTATTATAATAAAATATTTTTTGATAGTATTAAATATTGCAATTTACAGTCAAATTACTTGAATACATTTTTCTGTTAGATTATCAAAAGTATTAAAAAAATCATGTTGGTGCAGTGATAAGATATATTTTAATTAATATATTTAAGGAAAATGTATATGTTCACAATTAATAATATATTCACTTTCTTTTCTTTCCAATAGTTTTTAGTACATATTTAAGTAAGGATGTATATAAATATTTTATACATTTTTTTTATTATTTACCATTTTCATTTAATTGATGTAGATGTAACGATTTAGATCATTTATTCAATAAAACTGTTTTCCATATCTGTATTATACCATATCCTTTCACCATTACTTTTCATTATTCCATATCTTTTGTGGTAGCTACCTCTAAATATTTTCTATTATATTTTTAATTATCACCATAGTTATGGATAGAAATAAACAAAATTTTTAACTTATACATACACGAATATGTTGCATTATTGAAAAACAAACAAATTGTCAACAATACAGATAAGATATGCTATCATTTCTTTCTACATATGTTGTACACAACATTGTTCGTCTTGTTTTTCATAGTTATCTCCTCTATCTGTATGTCATCTTACTTTAATAACTGGATTCCTTTTCAAGCCATCTGATGTATTCACAGACAATCTTTCTCCAACAGAAAAGATGACATGCCACTATTTTTCCTCCATCTGATATGTTCAAGAGCAAAGTTCATTCTATCCTCTTTGTATTGTAACATCAACAGTGGGTTTCTTTTCAATTGCTTTGTATGTACTTCAATTTCTGCCAAATTCGTTACATGTTCCATATTTGAATATTTAGTCTTAATTTTTATGTGTTCTGACTTAAAATGTTAATTTTAAATTTCAATGCTGTTCTTAAAATTGTATGACTTTTTTGAACAGTCATATTAAGTGGTATTAAAATACTGCATATTTTATGTTTCTCGTAGTTATAAGAATTCAAAACCCTGGAGTATTCAAAGAACTCGAAATTCTAAAGTGTTCAAAGAATTCAAAATTCCAGAGTGTTGAAAAAACTCAAAATTCTGGAGAATTTTTATCATTTTATCATGGTATATAAAATCCCATTTAGGAGTACCTTTGTGGACTGAAAATAGCAAAGATAGTCGATTTTAGGAATGTATATTTAGCAAAAATGATATTCACTCATAAGAAATACAAAATGTAAATTTCTTTTCGAGGATTTTAAGAGCAGAGTACTCAGCCTTGGTGAGCTGAGGGATCCCTAGAAACTCGAGATGACCATGACCAGTGTGTCTTTACATTATGTACCAATAGGAAATATTCTCGATGAGGAAGATAAAAGAATGTCAACTAGACCCCCTCAACAATATATTAGGCTCTAGTTGACATGGATATCTACACTCCCAATCCACAAGATAACACATGTGTGTTATTTTTAATTTTAAGGTAACATATATACAATATATAATTGAAAAATTGTACAGGGTAATTCGCTCACTAGTGGACTCAAAAGCACTATCATCATAAGTACCGATAATCATGAATATGTACTGCGACTGCATTTGTATGCGTATATGTGTGAGCTATAAAATTTCAAGTATTAATGTTTTCTGCTTAGGCAGTACTTCCTTTAAATGTACTAGCGAGCAAGTCATGCTGTACAATTTTTCAATTTTAGTGAATGACATGACCACATTATGATCCTAGGATAAACAGATTTTTTGAAAGATAACAAAACAACGTTCTTTTTCGTTTCTAATAAAACAAAAAAAAAAAAAAGAAAAAGAAAAGGAACAGTTAAAATTTCTTGGACAAAATGATACATTAGACACAAATATAAAGTAAACGCGCTTTAAGTTTTGAAAATAAAAGTAATTTCTTATAGATTTTTAAGTGTATCTAAATGTAGCCGAAAAAATCAGCTATCAAAAATGTAAAGAAACTCGATTTTTTCCATATAAACGAAAGGACATCAAAAAGAGTAATTTTTTTTACTATTTTTGTTTATCATATCACATAGTACTATCTTCCATCTGCAAAATCAAATTTAATTTATCATCATATGATTTTTTATTTCCGAGATATACCGTTTTAAAATTAGTCTACTTTTAATATTTGTGAATAAGAACAGATAGTTTTCAATAAATCATCATTGTAGAAACTGAAAAATTGTACATATGTTACCTCAAAATTAAGAATATTATACATGTATTATCTTTTTAACCGAGAGTGTAACGTATTCAACAGAAATATGAGCTCTATAATAGAGACACATATTTATACTACTACTAGTATTCTATTATCTACAATCAGATTAAATTTGTCATATATGCAGAGTTTAATATATTACACCAGAAGTTTTATTAATGTCTTGGAAATTAATAAGTTCTCAAAGCTAAAATTGTATAATTTTCAAATTTCATGCTAATTAGCCAGTAATGTCTTTTAGAAGATTGTTTACAAATTCTCATAACCAAATAATATCAACCTTAACATTTCTACAAAATTAAACATTCGAAATATCAACAAATTTTATGTTACATTATAAAATATTTCACCAGTTTCGGAAAAGACGAATATGTAGTTATTAAGATTTTGTAATGCCCTAATTAGAAAATGGTGTTGAAATTGAAAGAGGTTTCTAAGACAATTGATTTGCATAACTGTATCTAGAGCTGCATCGTATGTACTTAAGCACCTTTGCTTATAGGAAATAAAAGTCCCTAAGGAATGTCTTAAGACAAAGTATCTTAAATTAGTTTTTATTTGATATTGTACAATCCTGATGAATCTTAGATTATTTAAACCTCATATTTCTATACGTTCAATATGAGAAACAAATAATAGGTTATAACGCTGTTGGCAAAAAAAATAATGCATGAAATAAACTATACTGTACAGAAATGAGCATATTTGTTTTATTATTTTCTTTATCCTCAATGTTATACTTCATATTTAATAAATATAGTTTTATCTAAATTTACTGTTTTATTTTAAACTTGTGTTGAAAACCTACAGATTATTATTAATGAATTTAATATTCTTTGCAATCAATTCCTAAATTCTGTCTAAAAATTAAAAAAATTTTAATTTTCAATATGCCTTTCATATTTTTATATGACTCAATAAAACATATTTTTATTGAATCAATAAATAAAAAAATATTTCAGATATTTGTTTTTATTGACTTACCCTATATACCTTTCTTACAAATAAATAACTATTTTTTTTAGAAGCATTTACTTTTTAATATACATTACGGATAATACAGATCTTTTAACAACAACAATGATAATAGTAAAAATAAAAACGGAGTCAGTAATAATGACAATGAGAGTAATGATATTAATAATAGCAATAGTAATAATAATGGTAATAATAAAAATAGTAACAATAACGTCATACATATTATGTACTGTATCACTTTATTACTTGAGTATGTAACTAAAAAAATTTCTAATTCAAAGACATTATACACGGTTTATAATGATCATAAATTTTACATATCTTTATTTTCCTGTTAATAAGTACTTCTCAAATATTTGTATTGTAACTTTTAACATATGATTTTTGGGAAATACCTTCTGCCAAGTTTTGTGGTTAACATTACGATACATAATATAAACTAAATAAAGAAATTTTCACTTAATTACTCGAAAAAAAATTAAAGATAAACACATGTTAACGTTACATGCTAAGATAGCCTTGAGATTGATTTAGACGGCGACCAATCAGATACGCTATCAACACTATAATCACTAATCCTCCCAGTGCACAGCCTACTGCTATTGGTACAACATCCGGTGTATCAAAAGCGCAATCTATACCTAAAAATTAATAACAAAGAATTATAACCAATTAATTTTAATAATATTAACAATATCAAAAAGGTGATTATTATATATATATATATATATTATATTTTTGTTATTTTTATGTTTTTTGAGTTGCTTAAAATTTGTCATATTTTATATAATAATCAAAATTTCTGTTATATTTTATACAATGATATTTAAAATTATATGATTATTTACAGGGTAAGGTATGTGAATAAAAATAGTTTAAATGGTTAATTTATTAAAGATTTTTTAGAAAGTACTGTGTATTTTTTAATTCATGTAAATATACTTTACACCCAAATAAATTCAACAAATTATTCAATAAAAGCAGAGATTAATTATTTACACGCAAGAGAAAGATCTTTTTAATTGCAATTACCAATCTTTGGAAAAAATATTTTGAAAATAGTATTTTTATTATGCAAAGATTCTAATTTTTTTTGTTATGCTTCTAGTCAAAATAGTACTTGTAAGATTTTGAAAAAAATGTTACTGTATCAAAAATGTTCTTTACAACATATCAAATTATTAAATATGATACTTCTTTATTATATTATAAATATTGTTTTATTAAAATAGAATAAGAAAATACAAAATCTTCAAATATATGTGCATATAGTATTTGCAAGCCAAATAAAAAATGTACCGAATACGTCCACAAATTTTCTAATAAATTATTATCTGAAGTAGGGTAAATTGATATACTGAGTTCTATATGAATTCACATGTATATGAAGCTCTAATGTGATTCTAAAATACTTGAGATCTAATATGACTGAATTTTAAGATAATTTTGATTGACGTGAATTCTATGTATTTCATGAATTCTATGTACATGTAATGTATTATTATTGGTTCTCATGTGCGGTTGTATTTGTTATTTTTATTGTATCAAAATTAAACAAAATGTTGGACAAACAATATTTATCAAATAAGGATTAACCGTTTGAGTCCCAAGCAGCACGATCGCGCTGTTCAGATTTTATGTCGAGAAAACCCAGCACATTTCGAGCGTTGTGGACAACTGACGGTGCGTCACCGACTATCGAAATCGCGCGCTCAAATTTACTGACGCAAGTACATCTTTTAATGTGAATAATATATTTTACAATAGGTACAATACCATAATAATAGTGCAATAATACATTACAAAATAAAATATTTTGTACTTCATTGTTATTTTCTCAATAATTCTTATCGAACAAAACTTGAAATATTTATAAACTTACAGTACGCATATGTAATAATACAGGTGTATTTCATAAAATAACGAATTACAAATTAAAAATATTTTTGTGTTATGAACAAACAATTTAAATGGAAAGTAACATTTATAATTTGTAACATCGGTGTTTATCAAAACATATTGAATGAATTCCTTTTTTACATTGCACACAAATTAAATATGATCTTTTTATTGCATTTTTGGTGCTGCATAAAGTACAAGAAGCGCTATTGCGCCGATTGGTATTCATCGACATAAAATTAACGAAGCGCTATTATTTGGAGTGCGTGCGGAAGGACAAGTGACCGCGTGCTAGGATCGTATGAACGGAATATTTATGGCACTGTCGAGTGCAAATGAAGAGTGAAAATGAGCCTAGGAATACGTCTAAGTGTTTAAGATACGTGACCCACTGAGGGCAAGGCTGTGAGTAGTACATGAGAAATGCGTGATTGAGAGAATATGAGTATGTAAGAAGACAGAGTGGTTTAATAAGGGTTTAATAAGGTTTAAATAAGGATGCAAGGGTGTGGAAGGAAACAGTTTTTTGAGATATAGTCTAGAGCGAGTCACAGAGTCAGTGTTAAATTCAGCCGAGAGTCATTGTGAATTAGCGTTTAGTTTAGAATAAATCATTTTTATATTTATACCATTGTTATTTTGTTGCCTACCCAACATTCTTACAATATTAATTGATTTATTTTATATGATTAATTTATAAATAATAATATATCTGATAGAACCCGAAGTTCGATTACTATCTTCTTGTTTTAAATCAAGCTTTTGTTGTTTCAAACATTTATAGGAATTGGATGTTTTAATTTCCATATTGGGCATTTCATGCACCAATGTCACAGATGTTTCTGTTAAAAAGTATACAATTATTTAATAAAATATAGTAAAAATATGAAAAAATTATAGTACAATAAATTATTAAAATTATATAATGTACTCTAAGATTGTATGATCTGCCAATACATGCACATAAATATGTCATGCTCGTTTGAAAGTCATTAGGACATCCATTATTTCTAATAAAACTTTAATATTTGATGTAAGTAAGAATTTCAGACTGTATTTGATGTTAATGTTTGTGGTGCCTTGGAAATTAACTAGATTTTTACTTTAAAAATTGACCGACAGCCATTCTACAAATAAGCATATTTACTGTTTTGTATTATGATTCATTATGTCACTTTCATTCAATGAAAAAATACAAGAAAGACCAAGATTTCCTGTAATTCAACCACCTTTAAAAAGTCAATCATATTCGGTCATTATATCAATGGATGTCCTAAAACTTTAAAACTTTTAAATGTATATATTAACCCTCAGTATGTAAACCAGGCTGGGTGTACCCTGTTAATTTTAATTTTTTTAGATTTTTTTAAAAACTATTATTCACAGGAAAATGTACAAGATGCAAATGATTCTTGTTTACACAGTGAAGGTTAAACATTCTTCATGAATGTTTTCTAATAAATAAATAGAAATATTTAAAGATATTTTTAATAACAAAAATATTCCTTACTGAGACTTTTATTAAAATTTTTTTCAGGTATAACAATCTCCAAGTGATGGAAAGTGTAGTAATTCTCACTTATATTTTTTGTAAAATGTAGTGTCAAGTTAGCATCAGTTACATTTACAGGAGACCATACTAATGTCAAATATTGTTCTGATGTACCACAGTGTCCAGTTGCATTTGTAGTTACATTATCTGCAGGTATATCAAATGTTTTACTGGATATCTGAAAAATTAATTTCTTATTATTTTAATGATAATATCTCATTAATTTATTATAAATGTTACATAGCGTTATTTTTGTATGAAATATTAATTGGGTATACAGAGTGGATCAATAATTCTGATTACCTCAAATATTCCTCTATTAAACGTATATAGTTACAGGTATTTATAACACAAATTAAAATGTAAATGTAAGAAATGTATATAATAAAGATTAGTAAAAAATGAAACATATTTGCACTTTTAGGCACTTTAAGAGTACAAATATAGATGCTTCAGTACTCAAACAAACTTTTTAGTACTTTGAGCACTTCTTGCAACAAATGCCTGCATTTACCATTGAATGATGCTACATTTTAAATTCTTGAAATTGTTTAAACATTCGTTACTTTACTAAGAATAAAAAAAGGTATAGTCTAATACACACAAAAAGATGATTATGAACAGATCATAACTCCCTCCACACCATGCAACTTTAATAAATTTTTCCATATCTCTAAAACTAACTAATATATTTTAATTAAACTAATTGATATATATGTTATTTTTGAATGTTCTGTAGTTTCTGAATAAATTCCATTTAGTTTACCTAAAGTTAGTTAAAAATAATAAAAAAGTATTTATGATCCTTACATAATAAAATGCCATGAACAAGATAGGAAAGCATATTTACTAGCAACCCCTAAAAAAAATTTTTTTTTTTTTTTTTTCATTTTTTTCCCTCTCTCTTCTTTCCAACATTACAATGTCACAAATAAAAAGAAAAATTGTAATAGCCATAAAATATTAACCAAGAAAGGCTTAAATCTGTGAATTAATTTATTAGAATGTTCTAATTTTCATAAATAATGTTAAAACAGTTATTTATAATGATATTCCTACAACCCTGAAAAATATGGAGTAGTGTATTATAACTATATGTCAAAACCATAAAAGTAGCCCAGGAAATATATTTATGTAGATATACTTGATAAAATGTTAACATGTCCTTTTTTACCAATTATAAAAATATGACCTCAAAAAAGACTATTTCTTGATAATAATATATGTCCCCTTAAAAGGAATTTATTTGATGTAAAAAGATACTATATGCTCTATATAAAAGTAAACATGTTAAAATAGAAATTATGAAAAAGACCCAAAGAAATACAATTCAACTTTCTTGCTCTTTCCTGTATCACTTGTATAATATATAACTACTTTTTATATTGTTATAGATTTTTTCCTTATTCATAACCTTCACTGACCAAAACTAATGATCTCTGTTTAAATAATATACTATATTTTAATCTATCATATAATATAATAATGTTGAATTTTCTATATCTAAATAATACAAACCGTATGGTTATCAAGTGTATAATTGATAGTAAACACTGCATACATTTGTACTATAATACATATTTGATCACTTTCATTGACAACTATCCATTTGCCAGAAGCACGAGATACAGTGTTTGTTGGAGCACGTATGACTGTTGGATTAGTAGTTGGATGTAAAACTTGTTCAGTAGTTGTTTCATTTGTATTAATTAAGGCAGCTGTAGTATCCGATGGTACATCAGTAGAATTATTGGGAACAACTGTAGAACTCTGAATAGAACTGTCATTACTTAAAATCTCTTGTGGTTTTAATTTATTCCTATATGTCTCTGTTGAAACTGACTCAGGTTCCAAAGACACTATCTTGCTTGGTAGAGTAGTTGTTTTCAAATGTGGCTCAGAATCATTTTGTGAAGATGTCGCATTGTTAGGAAGAGCATCCCTGTTTCTGGATAAAATGTCTGCTTGATTTTCACCTGTTTTAAAATTTAAACATTTTAATTAAATTATTTGATTACTTATACATTTTTTTTTAAAATTAGTACAGTCATGTGAAAGACAATTTAATTATCACTAAAACTACTAATCTGTAGTCTGGTTTTAAACCTTTTTTATTTTTACTAAAAGTATATAATTGCTTTTAGTAAAATGAATGTTGACTTTTACTGACACAAAAAGATAATTAAAAGTATTCATACATTCTCATCACATCATTCTTATTTATCATTCATCATATCTTCTTATTTTTATGTAATTTTAGATTTATTTTTAATTAATTTGATAATCTTGTACTGAGTTAGATTTTTTCAGATTTATTTTAGGAATGTAAAACTATGTAAAATCACAATTTCAAATAGTAGAATACAATTTCTCTACACAAAATTAAAATGTAACCTTGTTTACTGATGATAAGCATCTATGATATTATAAACATATTATATAAGTAATAATGCATGAATTACAATCAAAAATTTCATCAAATTACTACCACACAATAGTGATGTGCATGAAAATTCCTTATATACCTTAATTCCACTTTAAGAAAGAAAAAAGAAAAAAGAAAGATTAAATTTAATTTTTCTTCCTTTTTTCTTTTCCAATTTTAAATAAAAGGAAATACATAAAAGTGGAGAATGTTTATTTTATTTGTGAGTAATACATTAAACATCACTGTAATATAACAATATATCAAAAAATAAAATCAATTATAAAATATAAATTATCACTACATTGTAAATCACCAATTATAAGCGGCGTGCTTGTTAGGCTTTGAGATTGTAGGTACAACGATATATTTATAGATTACCTTCATATCTCAAGAAATTATGTGAATTCACGTCAACGAAATGAGAAAGAGGATTACAAATGATATGAACTTATGTCAGCAGCAATGAGAAAGAGGATCATAAATGACGTGAATTCACGTCAGTTTCGAATGTATTAAATTAGCGGCCGTTTTATCGAATACTTTAGTTATAAATTATAATGTATAAACAAATAATAAATACTAGGCTTAAAGTTACTGTATTTAAAATGGCTTTTGTTATAATATATCTAACATAAGGTTGAGATGAAAATCTGCCAAATCTGAAGATACAATTTCACTGAATATAAGTTTCCAAAAACATTCACGTCATGAAATCAAAAATAAAAAGAAATAAATATACCTTGCACGAAAATTTTACTATAAAAAATATGATATAAAAAGAATATTAAAAAACATTAAAATCAGGAGAAAAATTGGGAAAAATTGCATCGATTTTTTAAATATACGTCAATGTAAGTTTTCTTAGTACATGCATTACTAAACATACAAAATTTTTTATAGATATAAATGATCTAGTATAATCTTCATACGCAGAAGAATCAAAAATAAATATAAGGAATGTGGCAAAATATTTTCGTCAATTTCAAACCAAGCGTGTGAGCGAGTGTGAAAGCATATGCCTAAACGGAACACAAATATTTTTAGTCTAAAGGTATGAATAACATCATAATAAGAGTAAGATGACTCTTTAAAGAAAACAATATCAGCCAACATAGTAGGATGTACAAAAATTGTATATAGGAACCATTACAGCCGAATTCTACATTTTACACGATTGCTGGAAATTTATTACAAAAAAAACTCTGATGTAAAATTATCCTTGACAATTTTTTTCAATATCAAACAGAGAAAGAAATTTCAAGGTCAATCAGAGATATAAAGAGAGACAAATTTCATTTTTGATAAGTTCCTATGAGATTTAATGATATTTTCCATTTAAATAAAAATTAATTTTTACTTAATGACTTTATCCAAATAATTTTTAAAAATAACAGACATTTTGAACATCTCTGTTACACTTATTTTCTAAAAAAGACTGTTAAGTTCCGATCTATAGTTCCTTATGTAAGTTTGCTCCTTATAATGAGTAAAACACAATGCGAACATAAATAGCTTGGTTTTAGAAAAAAAAGAAGAAAAAAAAGCAGTGAAAATCAATTTTACGCCTATCTTATTTCGCAAATCACCGATCCAAAAAAAATTAATTAATTCCATTATAATAGTTTTTATGCATAATTCTTTTACACCCTGTACAATATTCGAATTATGACTTTCAAAATGACTTTTAATGATGAATTTTCTTTTCCAATTCTTTTCTTTTTCATTTCAAGAAATGTTCTGCTTTCTTGATACTTATAAAGCGTGACTTATTGAATATATTAAATTAAATAATATTAAAATAAGAGGACGTATGAAGGTCAAGTTGGCTTTGTTAAATGAGATTATACATTTCTTAATACATTAATCGATACAACTCGTAATTTCTTATACAAAAATACTAAATCATGTATGGTGACAAAATCATTAGCCTAAAAGACGTTTCAATTTTAATATTGAATAATGATATTAGTAGCGTAACAGTTACTATTTTGAAATTAATATTGAAAATTATCCCTTCAGACAAAATATGCGAATTATTATACTACTTATATTCACAAGTATAATATTAGAATTAAAATATCTTCTCAATTAATAATTTTTTGCCATAAGTAGCTTAGTACTTATTTGTAAAAAATGGCGAGTTACATCAGTCGCGGTACTAAAAAATATTCCATTTAAAACAAAGTTAACCTTTGTATGTCCTTTACACGTGTACACGAGAAAAATTAAGTTACATTAGGTTATGTCTTTTCTGAAACTATTTAACTTCTATGAAATATTTTTCAGTATTATGTACTGAACAACAGTTTCGAAAATATTAAACTTAATTAATTTAAATAAGTCACCCTCTACATTATTTTCTGTGCGATTAAAATCCTTTTTTATCTTAAAATTTTGGCTCTTGAAAAGTTCAATATACTGTGTAAAGCTAGGAAGGAGTCTTATGGGATAGTATAGGAAAAAGTTCTCTTTAGAAATCTCTATTTATTGTTTCTTAATCTATAAAATATCCAATGCACATTTTAAACCTACACACGATCACAAAGGTATCCTTATCTGTAAATTCTTGGTGGAAAAACTTACATAGTAGAATAAGTTTCATTATCACGAATTTTATTTTATGCTAATGGTTAGATCAATCCTATGTCTACGCCAATGCTCTAGCGTTCGTTATCGTCCTTGTTCATTCGGACTTGATGTATCTCGTCCACTATTTTCATCACGTTGTTGAATTATATCACAATGTTATATGATTCGATTTATAGTTGTAACATTTTGTGTCAATAATGAAAATTCGTTTGATCTATTTTCATGATTGTATCAGGGATGACGTTTTTATTACACTAAGATTAATCAGATCCGCATTCCTCTCATTAGTTACTTCCTCATCTCCGCATAGTATAGAGGAAGTTGAAAAGTGATACTAAGAGAAAAATAGTTTAGTAGAGACCATTAAAAAAAAATTTGGTCTTTGAATATAGGTAACACCAATTTAGGACATAAATAAGGCAGAAGTTTTTCAAAAATTTGTGGCGCGAGGAAAGATCAAAATTACATGTCATTTTAATATTTACTTTTGATAATAATTATTATGTAAAATTTATCAGAATTATATTGTGAAGATCAGAGAAATTTTTTGTTTTGTTACTATTTAATATTCTAATCTAATATTAATTATTCTATATTTAATAAATATTCTATAATTAATATTATATATTTAATAATATTCTATTATTAACATTCTACATAATATCCTAGTTATTTCTTTATCCCATATTGTCGCAATATATCTCATTTGTGTTTCTCGTGATATGATAAACCTGTAGTTGTGATTAATACATTATTCAGCACTAATGACAATATATGTGACTAGAGATATCGCTCTTACAGTGCAACTAAACAGACCTGCTAGCCAGCTTTCTCATCTTTGCAGAGTATGATGTATAGATGAAAAGAAAACTAGCAAAAGGAATGGATAACACAATCATGATGCACATGGTTTTTATTATTGGCTGGGAGTGTCAAATAAAATCACATAGGATCACATGATAAAAAGAGGGAACGAGATACACCATGAATGAACAAACTAAGTAGAATGATAAAATATTGGCATACACAAAGGATCACTATTAATCATTAACATAAGATAAAAAGCTAAATGTCAATGTAACGTATCCTAGTACCACATCAGTATATAGCTACATAGAATATAAGAACTACACTACCAAAAACATAAAGATAGAAATTCAAAAATATTAAAGGTAGAATCAGATAATACAAAACTTCCATCTTTGCACAGTATGTACATATATCACAAAGTGTAACATCCCTCCTGGATTTTTCTTACATTTATTATATAAAACTTACTAAGCTATATAAGTTTACTATATAAATTGCATTAATCAAATAAACTATAATATAAAATAGTTATAATAAACTTAAAATACATATAACGTCAAAACATATAGGAAAAATTGAATATATGAGTTACTTTATCATAAGATTGGTATAAGATTAAGGTAGTCAAATAGAAATAAGACTCATAGAAACCAATATCTATTATTTAAGAAAGTTAGTTCAAATAGTGAAACGTATCAAAAATGTCTTAAGTCTTTAAAAGAATGGCCCATTAATGTAAAAGTGCTAAATTAACTTAAATGTATTACAAATGTTAAAAAAATCAGTGCAATAGTTTATTCAGATAAGTGAAAATAATAAAACAATCATATCCATTAACGAATAAGAATGAAAAATAAATCTTACAATGAATGTTAAATATTATATTCAGAATAAATTCAGAATAACAATTAAATGATCCTGTAACTTGTAGTACAGTATATATTGTACGTTACAACAATTATATTAACTTATGATAAATAAATTTCTACTAATAATTAAAAATAAAAGATTAGTATATGTATATATACACATTTGTACTACAATCAATAATTATGTATGTTGGACTAGTATGATAAACAGTCACATTAGTAAACTTAAAACCACTAAAAATATCTTAGAATGAGTTTCTTAGAAATATGATAAAATAAC